AAAAAGCCATTTTGTTTATATCTTTTTTTATAATTTAAGCTGAATATAAATTTATTGAGATAGGATTTACAATAATTTTTTGATATTTGTTTTTGTTAAAAAGCCATTTTGTTTATATCTTTTTTTATAATTTAAGCTGAATATAAATTTATTGAGATTTGATATTTGTTTTTGCGTCCAGAACAATTCATCACAGTTTTCTTCTTTGTTTGTTTGTTTGTTTGTTTTTCCTTTTTGTCTTTTTTACTGACCGGTAACGGGATCGGAACCCTCAGTGTTGCGCCCGCACTGCGCTCAGCCAGTGAGCGGGAACCGGTCTTCACATGGGATCCAAACCCTCGGCGGGAGCGCCACCGCGCTCCCAAGCGGCACACTCTCCAGTGCGCCACCGGGCCGGCCCAATTTTTTGGCGGGAGCGCCACCGCGCTCCCAAGCGGCGCACTCTCCAGTGCGCCACCGGGCCGGCCCAATTTTTTGATATTTGAATTCCCATTTTTTTTCATCTCAGCATCCCTAATTTTACCCTTATGGTTACATTTAAACTAATGGATAAAAAGATTTTTTTAAATTACATTATTATAATAATCCTTTGTATTTATGAAACTCTTTAAATTCATAGTTTATCCTTGCAATAATCTTATTTATAAATTAAGAAGAGGTGGCAATAAAAGTAAATAAAGGCAATAAAAGTAAAGAGATCAGTAATCCCTAGTCCTAGAATATTCCTTTATTGCTGGTGATCTCTGAGGGACCTGATAAATAATACCACCTTTCCCTATTCAAATCTAAAGCATGATAAACAGACAAAATCGTTGGCAGATGGAGAAACAAACATCAACTTTATGACTGAAAAAGGGTAAATTGAAAGACTTACCTCCCCAACCCTCCATCTAGACTTTGGAACAGCCCGCCATCAAGAAGGTTTGAGTGGGCAGATTAGGAACACCTCCTATCTGGGTTGCATTCCACTTGTGCTTGTCCAAGTGGAGAGGGGAGGAAAGAGATAGTCCTCTAGCTCAAGTTCTTTGCTAGATTTGTACTACCCAGTTATGAAGCATGGACCGGTCAAATGGCCATTACTTGCCAACCAGGTCTCTCCCTCTCCTCCCTGGGGAGTAAAAAGTAGTGGGACAAAATGCCAGGAGTGTGTAGGAAAAATTTCTCCTCATGGGAACAGAGAAGTGAAGAAAAGCCTAACGTTTATTAGAGATTAAATTTTGCATTTTGTTTATCATCTAAAGAATCATAAACACATTATAAATTGTCTTATATCAGGATTCAAATGTTAAACAATTTTTTTTTTGGAATTGGAATGCTTTTTCTCTTTGAAAGTCAGCAACTTCAAGGAATCAGTGGGGTATATGACTTGCATTTTTAAAAATAAATTCTCATTTGAAAAGCCTGCTTAAAAGAATACAAAACAATGAAGATGCAAACATTCCTGACACATTTGTAGTGTTATGTGTTGTAGTATAAGGTTTAAATACATATTCAAAAAGTTATGGAAACATGAAATATAGAATAAGCAGAAACTGTATATTGGTGGTAAATGTGTATAGATTTACATTATCATTTCAGGTTGCTAATGCCATGAAAAACTCATTACCATTTGATGCTCCTGATTCTTCACAAGAAGGCCAGAAAGTACTAAAAGTGGAAGTCACTCCAACAGTTCCAAGGATTTCTCGGACTGCAATTACAACAGCTTCAATCCGTCGTCATAGATGGAGGAGAGAAGGTGAGTACAAAATCCCTATAGGCCATTTATGGATTTAAGTAAATTTGTCACTGTTTTTACAGACTATATTAGCACATATTATTATAGTACTCTATATAATTAAAGTAAAATTTTTTAGTTTCTAACAATAGTACTTGAGATGTGATTACATGCCCAAAGTTATTTTAATATAAATATATGTATATTTATTTATGAAGTAGAAAGGTGTTATTTAGAATGCTCTATGAATGTTAAAACAGAAAATAAGATGAGGCTAGTTTTTGTCTTTTTTTGAACAAATGACAACAATAGGAAAGAAATTGCTTTACAATACTGTGTGAAAAAAAGATACATGTATGAGCATTGTCGGAGAAACTGTGTAACTGGCCAAACTAACAGTATAATACAAGCTATCCATAAAAGAATTGATTCTTGTTTTTGGCTTTTTATCTGTTCATTTCCTTTTTTGGTAAGTGCTGAATCCAGCAGTATTTTATAGACATATGATACTTAAATAGTCAAGCTGTCTTGCCTAAAAGATATTAATTGCCATTTTAATGATCCCTATTTTTCTGTCCTATTCATTTGCAAACCTCACATTGTTCATCTGCTGCCTTATGTGTGTGCATGCTGTGCACACACATGTAACTATATAAATAGTGTTCGTGTTTATATCATATCCATTTATACATTCTCTTATCTGCCTGGGTCAAAATGCTCAGAAAAGAATAGAGCAGCTCAAAAGCACTAAAATTTTATATGTTGAATCCCAGATGGCTTTGACTTCTCAAACGAGGCTGATTCGAGTATTCCTGGCTCCCCGATCCAACACGGCTCCACTGACGTAGGGATCAAACGTGTGCAAGAGGGGGAGGTGCTGGTGCGCAGGACCCCTGAGCCGGAGCCCAACTCAGCAGCAGCCACAACAGAGGGTAGGACAGAGATGAGGAGGCAGAAGTCAGTGAGGCAGTTGCTGGAGAAGGATCCTAGCTCTCTATCCCCAAGCAGAATATTTTTCCATTCTAGTATGTGTTTCCACTACCCAGGGTGTATTAGCTCCTCTTTGCAAAGCACCCCACTTCCCATATGCCTAGCACCAGGTCAGGTACAGTCTTTAGCTACCATGTGTGCTGGCCTGAAGTCTGCATCCCTGTGGAATCAAAGAACAGCTTGGCATGGCTACTAACAAGGCAGGGGCCTGTCTCAAAAGGTCTGCAAATGCTTGGAAATTTTTCATTACTGAGCATGTTTATTCTAACATTAGGAAAGAAAAAATGCACCCAACGGACATGAGCCTTATTAGTCAATATGAATGATTTCATTTATATAATAATTTATTCTTTAAAAATCTGTAAAGAGAACATTAAAACATTTGTATATTAGCTTTGAGAAATTGAAGTTGAGCCGGCCAATTTGTCTGTAATCCTAGGGTGTTGAATTAACAGGAACTTCTTGTGTCTTTGACAGAGTATGTTGGTATTAATTGGCTTTTTTTTAATCTGTAGATTAAGTTGTCTAGGTCTAACTAGTGAACTACTGACATCTTTCCTCTATAAATGAGCTATCCTGGTGCATACTTCATTTTATAATTTATTATAAATATTGTATTCTATAGCTCCTAAATGGAATTGTAATGTATTATTTAGAGGTCAGATATACAAGTAGATCCTTTTTTCTACAATGTAAGTATCTCAACATGAGAATTTTTTTTACACCTGCTACCCCCCATCTGTAAAAGAACACTTCTGTTTGATAGCAAGTTACAAGTACTTGCTATTTTGCATGTAATGTTATAGAAGTTAGCTTTGTGAAAGAGGGAACTATAGCCAAATAGTTTTTTCATAACTCAATATATTGCTACTGTGGAACCGTTATACTAATTTATGAAATAAATCAAGCAGTTCTAAAAGATCTTACATATTTGTACTTATTTTAAAGACCAAACATAAATAAAGTAATTAACTTTCGCCATAGGGAAGTTTCTTGCTTTTTGGTGCATAAGAAATTTGAGCATGCTCAGTAAGAATCTAAATCTCCCCTCTGCTATCTTGCCCATTTGCCCAGACTGACCTTACTTTATTTAAGTGTTGCATGTGCATGACCTAAGGACCCAAAGAAGTTGGTGCTGTTTTAGAGATCCTTCTTTAAATGGCTGTGAAAGATGCAGCCCTCCCTTTTTGTTTTTTCTATATCTCTTTATGTTATCCCTAGGAGTCAGTTTTATCCTGTATAAATGCATAAAAATGAGAATATGAACAGATGTGGAACCCAGAATTGGGCTAAATTGAACAACAGCCTATTTCTCAACATTCTTGCTGACTAAATGAACCACTTGTTGTGTATCCACTACCATCCTTAGAATGTTGGGAGTATTTGTGCTAAATGTAATAATATGTTAATTAACAGTTGATGAAATTCTAGAAAGCGTGGGATTTCATGTTGAAGCGTTTCTTCCAATTTATCAAAAATCATACATTCCACTTGTTGTGTATCCACTACCATCCTTAGAATGTTGGGAGTATTTGTGCTAAATGTAATACTATGTTAATTAACAGTTGATGAAATTCTAGAAAGCGTGGGATTTCATGTTGAAGCGTTTCTTCCAATTTATCAAAAATCATACATTTTGAAAAAAGAACCAAAATAGTAGCTCCTTTTTAATATCCTATTAAATCCTATTAAATATCAAAATATCCTATTTTAATATCTCCTAACACTGGTAAAATTTCAGTTTGGGGGAGGGGAGGTGTTGCCACAAGGAAAGGGTAAATTTCTTGAGTATGTTTGAAATTTCTAAATAATTATTTTAGCTTTTTAATCTAGATTAATTATAGTTTTAAATCAATATCAGTAGAAGCTAAATTTATAAGGGAAAGCAGCCATGAATAGAAAAGTTCATTAAAAATCCTTTTTGGTTGGGCCGAGCCCGTGGCGCACTCGGGAGAGTACGGCTCTGGGAGCGCAGCAACACTCCCGCCGCGGGTTCGGATCCTATATAGGGATAGCCGTGCGTGCGCTCATTGGCTGAGCGCGGTGCGGCCGGTCTCAAAAAGAACAACAACAACAAAAAAAATCCTTTTTGGTTGTCTCTTCTTTGGATCATGAATAGTGTTGTTGTCACCTAGGGAGAAAATTACAAAGGAAAAATGTTTTGAGACACAATTGCCTTTTTATTCCTTGATGTTTTTTAAACAGAAGGAAGGAAATTACTAAAATCCATGTATTTCTGAAGTCTGCTGGAGCTTTTGGATTAACATATATAATTGACCTAAAAAAAGCAAAAAAACAAAGAAAACATCTTTTCTAATTTTATAATTAAAATTCTGTTTATTATATGTTGAAATTGAAGGGGGAATATAAGCCCATCACCTGATTGTCAAGTAACATTCTATTTGTGACTTTTAAAACTGAAATTAAAAATTATTACTGAACTGAGAACAAAGCCTGTGATTAAAGTATAGTTAGTGTTCATTGTATTGAAACAGCATTTCTTAGTATATAAATTATCAGTAGATTCTCTTGCATGGTGGCTTTTATGTTATCATCATCTCTTTTATGGCCATATTGCTTGGGCATCAGATCTGCATGTAACAAGATTCAGAAGCTATCACCAAGTCTCTCAGTCTCTTTTCCTAATTGAATAGATATACCCAATGATACATTTCTTAAAGTTTTAATTTTATGGTATATTATATACAATTATTTTGAAGGAGTTGAGAGAAGTGGTGTCAGCTGCTTCTATCCTTAGTAAATGCATTTTCATATGGCTTTGCATGCTGATTAAAGATTATTAAACTGCTGGATATAACAAGATGNGTATTGAAACAGCATTTCTTAGTATATAAATTATCAGTAGATTCTCTTGCATGGTGGCTTTTATGTTATCATCATCTCTTTTATGGCCATATTGCTTGGGCATCAGATCTGCATGTAACAAGATTCAGAAGCTAGCACCAAGTCTCTCAGTCTCTTTTCCTAATTGAATAGATATACCCAATGATACATTTCTGTTCACTTCCAGTTTTATATTACTAATGCCAATTCTGAACCAATAACTATCTTTTGGGGGGCATTTTGGAGTTCTTTATACTAATTGTAAGTAAATTACTAAAATGATATTGTATGAATATAATTTAAAGTTTTAATTTTATGGTATATTATATACAATTATTTTGAAGGAGTTGAGAGAAGTGGTGTCAGCTGCTTCTATCCTTAGTAAATACATTTTCATATGGCTTTGCATGCTGATTAAAGATTATTAAACTGCTGGATATAACAAGATGCCTTTTGCTTTAAGGATAGCTCATTTGATTATTCTTTAGAAGAAAGGAGATAATCCATATGCAAAAATATAGCTAAGAAAATATTTTATTTTTCCAGTTACTATGTTAAATAAAGGATTGTGTTTAAATATTTCATATGTATTTTGCTTAGGTAACCTGTATCTCAAAGTAATATTTGTTTTAGATTTTTTTCCTAACTTTACCTGAAGTATAATATTGATGTCTGTTTTATAGATTCAGATTAAACTTTCTTGCAGTCTGGGAAATGTATTTAATGAGGTAGCAAATTGATATTAGTTTTTGAAAGAAGCAAATCTATCACTTTCTAAGAGAATGTTGATCGTGCTTTCAGTAAGAGAATTGGGCTTTCTAGAAACCACAAACTCAAAATATTATATATGCTTCTCTTCTTCCCACAAAACCCCAAGATAAGGATTCTTTTTTTTAACTGTGGTTTCTACATGAATTGTGATGGACTACGATAGTATTTTGTGGGTATGACAATAATTCATCTCAATGCTAAGAATCTAAATTACTATAGAAATACATAATTACATAAAATGTTATAGAAATACATAGTATAGAAGATAAAAATCCTTCTTAAATATACAAGCTGGTTCTCTAACCCTGCTCCCTGATAATCAATATTTTCTTCACAATAATTGATCAAGAAAACATGGAAACCAATGAGTAGATATGTCTATAAGACAAAATATTATTGTGAAGTTACCAGAAGCAATGTAGCTTTTTAGTTTTGTTTTTTTCCTTTTTGTCTTTTTTCGTGTCCGGCAACGGATCGCAACCCTCAGTGTCGGCCCACAAGAGGGTTTCTATCTCAGTTTGCACAGTCTATCATATGGTGGGTTAAAGAAGATATGAGGAAGGGCCGGCCCGGTGGCGCACTGCTACAGTGCGCCGCTTGGGAGTGCGGCGGCACTCCCGCCGAGAGTTCGGATCCCACCTACAGACCGGTTCCCTCTCACCG